GGCAATAGTAAGCAGTACTGGTTTTTTTTTTTTTTCCTTTCCCTTTTTCCCTCATTGCCTGGCTGGCAGATGGCCTTGTTCTCAGAATAAACCAGGATGAGACCCGGATACTAAAACCATGCAGAATCTTATTATTTGTGACTGACACTATTAGCAGTATGCTCAGAACCATATTTTAACCCAGCTAGTGGGAGCTGACACGTCCTGTTGAAACTACCCAACACCCGCGCTCTCTTGTGCAGATTGCTCTTGCTTTCCTTTTGCAACCTGAAATTAGCAGGAAACAAAGACTGACCCTGGAGTTGCATCATCTGTGAGACTTCCAAACCAAATTACAACCATTCTGGGCAATATGATTTTTTTTCCTTGCAATTCTTTCCTGTTGAATCAGCCTCATTTCACACACATGTCTCCATTCCTTCTCTGCTCCCACTGCTTGCAACAAAAAGAAGTAAAATTAAATCCCAGTCTTAAAAATCGGATCTATTCTTTGATTTAGAGATAAGTCTGGCTTAAATGTAATATTTAAGCAGCCACAGCCCAGAATAACTCAGTCCTGCTAAGCAGAAAATTGCTTTGAGAGGGCTTCAGGACCCTTGATTGAGCAGATAAACCAATTATCTTGTTAATTGAATCTTCTGAGTCATTTACGTGATCCTTTAGAGGCACTTGAAAGGAATGATAGTATGTGTTTTGCTAGTGAATTATTCTAGACTTATGTCTTGGATGTCTCGGAGTTCATTGACGGCTAAAATGGGGAAACATTGCAAATAAGTTATTGCTTCGCACAAAGCAGTAGGCAGCTTTTCTCACAATTTCATTGATTTGTGAAAAAAAATTCCCAGAACTTGAAGGTTTTTAAAAAAACAGTCCTACATTTTTATTTTTTACCTAGAGTGTAAAAAGCTTAAGCTAATTTGAAAGATGAAGGGTTCGAGGGAAAAGGCAGTTAATTCGATGGTAAATATATCTTTATTGACTTCATTTATCATGTTTAATCTGATAGTAAAAGAACCACCCAGATGGTGCTTTAATGTTCCTTTCAGTGCTAAGATTTGGTGAAACATCTTTTAAAGAGGAGTAGGTGGTGTAAGTAGGAAAAAATAAATGTGCTATTTTGGCTTCTAGGGAGGAGGGGAAAGAAGCAATTATTTTTAGAAATCTGTTCTAGTTGTGCTCCATTTTAGAAGAAGTAGAAGAGTGTGTTTTAATGTCAGTGAATCCTTCAGGGGGATGAAGGCTGCAAGAAACACTTCTTTCAAATGCTTGCCACCGTGACTGCAGAGAGCACACTTGTAATTAATGTGTGCCTGTGTGTACTGGGCCTGTATGCATAGTCCCACATGGGTGTGGAGGAGGGGACCAAAGAAAGCAAGCTTGAGTTAGAAAGTTTCTTGGATAAAAAAATAGTTACACTGGAGTCCACGCTTGGTGAGAAAGCACTGCCAGATTTAGCATTCCTTATTGGGAGGCAGCTAAGGAGGGAATGTAGTTGAAACATAGGAAAAGATGAAAGAAACAATATAATTAATTAGAAAAGAATCTTGAGCCACACCATTAATATAATACTAAGGAATTAACTCAGCTTAGGAACTGGGATGTTTTCACTCAAGAAGAAGTGTGACTACGAACACCATAGCACAATATCTTGGTGTTGAATGCTCGGTCTTTTTTTTTTTTTTTCCCCCTCCCCCTAAGGATTCAGTAATTTTAAAATTAGATTTTCTTCTGTTACAAACCATGATAAATAATACCCCTACCTAAAATGCAAAATAAACTTGTTTATCTGAGTCCTGAGGGAATCCTTCACCTCCAACAGTTCTTTTACATGGACTTTGTGTACCCTAAAGGCTTTCCTCCCTTTTGGATTGCACTGATAATTCGCTAGATGCAGATCAGGCACCATACACATCGCATGCAAGCAGCTGGGTGCTCCAAGTTTTTAATAAAAATCATCTTTGAATCGGACTTTAGGTATTCAAACAAATATTGATTCTGGTTGAGAAGGGATAGTTTCTGTAGCTCTAGAGCAATTCCTTCCAATGTATTAAAAACAGTAATTTTTGGATTGTGGACTTGGATACACCAATTGATTATATATGGAATATGGATGTACCCTGATATCAACTTTATATGATTATTTAAATGCAAAAAAAAAAAAAAACTTTGTGGATGGTTTTGTTGGTTCTGGCTTTGTATTTTGGAGGTTAAACACAAAAAGTCTGATATGGATTTTTTTTCCTCCTCTTTTTAACTTCCTTGAGATAATCCATCCTATCTGACATTTTTTACATCTTCCTTTTACCCTCCAGCCTCCTACCCTCTTTCAGTAAGAGCTGATAATCATTCATTCCTTCTTATCCGCTGAGGGCATTTCACTGAAGCAAAGGTTCCTGCTTAATTGTTATCTCCATGAGCATTCGTGTGGTAAGCTTTTCATATGTGAAATGCAGAATCCATTTCTCATGATAATGCAGAGATAAGGTGGTAGGGAGATAATCTGGAACCCAAGCATTTTAAAGTATATTCATTTGTCCTTTTAACATTTATTAAAGTACCATTTAGCTGGTCCTGTGTAGGTATTAAGAGTCTAAAGTAAGCAAAAAAAAAAAAAAAAAATCACTTTTTTCCATCATGAAGCTTCTAGGCTGTAGGAAGGATCCATATGAGCTGCTAAGCTCCCCTAGCCCTGCATATGCCCTCTAATTTAATCCTTATGACAATCCTTTAAGAAAGTCTATATGGAGTTTCAATGTAAAAAATATATATATATCTAGTGTAGTCCTGGCTTTGTGGTTCTCTGCTGGACCCTTCTGTGACTTGGTGCTGCTGCCCCCTCCAAAATCTTCATCAAAATCTTTCCTTGTATGCCCCCCAAACCCCATGGCTCTCAGCCCTCCCTCTTCTTGCCCACTTCACTCTCAGTATGTCAGTTCCTCCTCCATCCTGTCTTTGAGTCTCTCTGTATTTACTCTTTAACCATGCTGCTCCTAATCTTATTTCCTCAGCTGAGCCTCTTCTGCTTGCAGTTTCCCACTGGCGATTTATCTCTTTATACCACCATCTCTGGCCCCCGGAGCATAGCAGTTGCTAGTAAAACATTGGATTACAGAGTTTTCTCTCCTGTTCCACGAGGAGGCTGGCTGAAGCAGCTGAGCTCTCACTCCCTGGGTTTCTAAGAATCACAAAAGTGCCCTGGTCCTAAATCTGCCAACAGCACCATCAAAAATCAGGCTGGGCTCCGTTCTTCTTGTAATTTTTACCCAACCCTCAATTCCCCTCCCTCTGCCCCAACAGTGGTAGATAGCTTCAAGCTTGGTGTTCAGTGTATCTTCTCCACTCAACTTGAATTTTTCTGAGGACACAGAGCACTTAACTCTGGCCACTAACATAGAATTTCACAAAGACATCTTTTTTTTTTTTTTTTACATTTATTAGTGTTTTATAGTTGTACATAATGATGGTATTTGTTGTTACAAATTCATGCGTGCACATGATATAACAGTATAATTTGGCCAATATCACTTCCCACCATTTCCCCCTCCCTCCCCTAGTCTCATTCCTCTACTGATTTCTCTTTGCTTTTCCTGAGATTCTCCCCACTGCCACTTTTCTTTTCCTTTTTTCCTCTGGTTTCCGCATATGAGAGAAAAAATAGGACCCTTGGCCTTCTGGTTTGGCTTATTTCACTTAACATAATGGTCTCTAGTTCCACCCATTTTCCTGCAAATGACATAGTTTCATTTTTCTTTATGGCTACATAAAATTCCATTTGGTATGTATACCATATTTTCTTTGTCCATTCATCTGTTGATGGACACCTGGCTGGTTCCATAATTTGGCTATTGTGAATTGTGGTGCTATAAACATGGATATGCATGTGGTATGATATCACTGTGGTATGATGACTTTTATTCTTCAGGGTAAATACCAAGGCATGGTATAGCTGGGTCTTATGACAAAGGCATCTGTCTTGATGGTTCACATTAAGTCAATAAAAATTTGGGTCTCGCTGGGCGAGGTGGTGCATGCCTGTTATCCCAGTGGCTTGGGAGGCTAAGCCAGGAAGATCATGAGTTCAAAGCCAGCCTCAGCAATGGTGAGGCACTCAGCAACTCAGTGAGACCCTGTCTCTAAATAAAATACAAAATTGGGCTGGGGATGTGACTCACTGGCCGAATGCCCCTGAGTTCAATCCCCAGTACTTTAAAGAAAAAAAAAAAATGGGTCTTTTGTTAAGTTTCTTGGGGATGCCACATTAAGTGGCAGATAATAAGGTTTTGGAGGAGAACCAGGTTGAAATCAGGTTTATAACCAGGTAAATATGAGCAGTCTACCCCTCTTCCCTGCATCTGAACAACAAGATTGGTAATAACGATCCTGAGGTTAAAATGAGGTGGTGCAGGTACAGTGCTCGGCGTGCTGCCCAATGTAGAGAAAGTTCTGGGTGAATGTTGGATGTTACTATTATGAGTGTGTCACCATTCTGAATGAGTAGCTATGGGAAGAGGGAAAGTCAGATCAAAGTTCAGAAGCCTCTCTGTTTGATCTATAAGTCATGGGTTGACTCCTGCCTATGCTGAAGCTGCCTATCCAGCTGCACAGGAAACTAGTATTTTTTTGAGACTTTGGAGTTAAAAACACTAATCAGGTCCAAGTTCTTAGCACTCCAGCTTCTCTAATCCATATACTGCCGAGCCGCTCAGGCAGTCCATACAAAGACGCAAGCTTTCAGAAGCTGTGATATATTATGAGTGGCATTTATTCTTCTCATTTCTGAAGAATATTGTTTGCCATCCTTTGTTTCCTGTCTCTGGTGTGCAGATGGTCTAGTACAGATGCCCTCCCAGAAGTGCTCAATAGGTGGTAGGAAAGAGGATGTCCTTGTCCCTTCTTGAAACATATCCAGACACATAGGTTTTTGTCCAGGGAATGAGAGGTAAGAAAGCCTTGGATACAACTTCCTCACAACCCAGCACTAACATTCTTTTCTTCTCCAGGACCTACAGATAGAACGAGAGAGAAGTTCATATAATATATCTGGTGGCTGCACGGCCCTCATTGTGGTCTGCCTCCTGGGGAAGCTGTATGTGGCAAACGCTGGGGACAGCAGGTAAGTGCATTCACTGTCTGATTCCTACCAAGTTCGAATGCCTTCTGATCGCTTTTATCTTTTCTTTAAAAATTAAACGATTAGAGATAAAAATAATCCTGCTTGGATTCGGTATTAAGAAACATAAACCTACGTCATAATAAAAATTCATTTAAGAACCATCAGATTGGAATTAAAGGTAGTCTTTTAGTTGTTCATCGTATATAGACCTGCAATTAGTTTACACCAGTAGTATTAAAATGTTATTTTGAATTCAGAACCTTATTTTCAATGAAAGGTTAGCAGAGGCAGAATATTTAAAGCAGAGAGGGGATTTGAATGGAGTGGGTACTTGGAGGAGGACCAGACCCGGCTCCCAGCTGCCTACACTTCCCCATATGACTTCACACTGTCCCCTCCCTGAAGTTGCTCCCTTTATGCACATATTCTTAGAGGCTGCAGTCTCCTCTCTCCCAGATTCAGGTAAAGGGAACTTTGGCCAAGAGATCATGTTTAACCCTACTTTATCCAGCACGGCCAGGGAAAATGATAAATGTGTGTTATAATTTTATTTTAAATAATGAGATGCTTCTTTACCTTTTAGTGCGAGGAATTTAAAAATTACAGACTTGGTGAAGAAAAATGTTCTACTATGTGTTATACACTTCTTCACTTTCATAACAAAATAGATGGCTATATAACAGGACCTTTTCCTAAAAACTCTTTATTCTGAAAATAACAAAAAATCGAAACACAGTGTCTACAGAAGAGGAGCGGTTCACTGGTGAGGGCTGCAGTGGATTCTCTCGTTCCTCTAGGCCCCATGCCTATGGTGAGCACCCCTGCTCACTCTGGCCCTTCTGGAGGGCTGACCCCCACCCCTTTCCCCTTCCCAGTCACCAGCTTGTTTCATTGCTACTATCTCTGTAGCCTGCAAAACCAGCCCCCTGGAGGATATCAGGAAAAGCACCCAGTTTTATTTCCATGGACAAAACAGGAGACCGAGGCCTGAGGTGCCTCCATTCCTTCTAGTGTAGCATCCTTTCCCACTGAAGATCCCGGAGAACAGAGGACACAGAACTGCCAAGGCAGCAGTGATTGGAGTTTGAAGATGGATTTTAAAAATTTTTTTTTATTTGTTCTTTTTAGTTATGCATGACAATAGAATATAATTGGGTAGGAGGGTACCAGGGATTGAACTTAAGGGCACTCAACCACTGAGCCACATCCTTAGCCCTATTTTTGTATTTTATATAGAGACAGGGTCTCACTGAGTTGCCATTGCTGAGGCTGGCTTTGAACTCACAATCCTCCTGCCTTAGCCTCTGGAGCCACTGGGATTACAGGCGGGCACCACTGCACCGGGCAATAGAATGTATTTTGACATATTATACATACACGGAATATAACTTCCCATTCTCGTGGTTGTACATGATGTGGAGTTAACAGGTCGTTTATTCATATATGAACACAGGAAAGTTATATCTGATTCATTCTACTGTCTTTCCTATTCTCATCCACCTTCTCTTCCCTTCATTCCCCTTTGTCTAATCCAAAGTTCGTCTGTTTTCCCCACCCGCCTTATTGTGTGTTAGCATCTGCATATCAGAGAACATTTGACCTTTGGTTTTTTGGAATTGGCTTATTTCACTTAGCATGGTAGTGTCCAGTTCCATCCATTTCCTGGCAAATGCCATAATTTTTTTCATTTTTATGGGTGAGTAATATTCCATTGTATATATATGCCACCTTCTCTTTATCCACTCATCTGTTGAAAGACACCTAGTGTCCTTCATTGATGTGGCCGCATAACTGTAGTATGCTGATTTTAAATCTTTGGGGTATATGCTGAGGAGTGGGATAACTGGGTCAAATGGTGGTTCCATTTCAAGTTTTCTGAGGAATCTCCCTACTTCTTTCTAGAGTGGTTGCACCTATTTGCAGTCCCAGCAGCAGTGTATGAATGTACCTTTTCCCCCACAAGGATGGATTTTTTGAAGGAACATTTATTTTAAAAGTATAAGTACATCTTCTATTTTACTGTGTAAGATAGCTCAGGTTTCAGTGTAAACATTTGCCCAGTAAATGATAGAATATAGATGCTTTTTTCTCAAATTCTGTTCCCAGTGCCCAGGCATGGTTCTGACAGGAGACAGACTCCAATTCATTGCATCAATGAAGAAGTAAAAGGGAACTGGCCAGGAGTACGGAGGCCCCCAGGAAGGAGTTGGTCCCCCTAGGCCTGCAGAGACCGTATACACACTCACACAAAAATGCTATTCCAGAGCCCCAAGAGAGTAGGTGCCATTAATGAGGGGCCACGGGGCAGGAGCTACAGGAGAAATTAAGGAAATTCTTTCTTCCCACCCTCTCATCTCTTGCCTGGGCTTCCTATTTGTTGAGCCCAGCCTGGAAGCCAGCTGACAGGAAGTCCTAGGAGTGCCATTCATCGAGGTTGGCCTGCCTGGGTACAGACACAGACCAAGATTACATCTTCAAGATGGGGACAAAGGAAAATCATAGCATATCTGCCTCTCCTCCTTTCCTTCCCTGCCTGCCTCAGGGTTTAGCGGCTTCTGGACAGGAATCAGGAGCTTGTCAAACACACTGCAGGGCCGGACTCTGGCCTCTTGCTCAGTTCTGGATCATGACATCATTGGGAGAGAGATGAGCAGCAGAGGAGCAATTCCTTTCTGTTCTGACTAAACAGGACTAGATGGGTGACTCGGCAGCCATGCTCACGTCTGCCTCTTGCCTTCATGTCCAGTTCCATGTCTTTTAAAGTGAGTTTGCTTTCCTAGCAAACTGAGTACCTGCTCCCTGGCCACCTCCCACCCTACCCACCCATGAGGAAGCACCTCTACCAACTGACCCCAGACTCGGAAGTTAACTTCCAAGCCCAGATATTTTTATGTTAGAATATCCGCCTTCTAACTCCTGCCAGGTACAGTGGCACACACCTGTAATCCCAGTCGTTCAGGAGGCTGAGGCAGGAGGATCACAAGTCCAAGGCAGCCTCAGAAACTTAGTGAGGACCCAAGCAACTTAATGAGACCCTCTCTCCAAATAAAACATTTTAAAAAGGGCTGGAGATATGGCTCCATGCTTAAGTGCCCCTGAGTTCAATCCCTGTACAAAAAAAAAAAAAAAGACTGAATTTCTCCCCAGTGCCTTTTCCTCATTTTTATACAAGTTTTCCATCAAAGGTCCACACTGCCTACCAGAGACACTTGCCTAGCCATGGTTTCTATGTCCCAGAAGTTCCAGCCCTGGCCCTGGAGCCTCCTATCCTGTGTTCATCTCCTGGGCTCTTGCCCCCACCCCATCCTTTTTTTTTCCTTGAGAGCTGATTTTCCACACCAGACCTGGATTTCCTTATCTATACAGGTGGTTGTATTGGGCCAGATAACTTCTAAAATTTCTGGCATTCTGAAGATTATCCTGTGGAAGTGACACTTATGGAAAGTAAATTAATGTACAGACACAGGCCAAGACTACATCTTCAAGATGGGGACAAAGGAAAAATCATAGCACATCTGCCTCTCCTCCTTTCCTTCCCTGCCTGCTTCAGGGTTTAAGCAGCTTCTGGACAGGAATCAGGAGCTTGTCAAACATACTGCAGGGCCAGACTCTGGCCTCTTGCTCAGTTCTAGATCATGACATCATTGGGAGAGAGAGGTTGGTCTCTACAGCAAATGTTTCTTAAGGGTCAGTTTTTGGAATTTTAACTAAGGACCCTGTTTTCTAAGTGTTTATGAAAGTATGATTTTTTTTTTTTAGGGGGGGTGGTGCTAGAGATCATGCATGCTGCTCAAGCACTCTACCGCTGAGCTGCACCCACCCTACATTTATTTCCAATAATTTTAAAACCTAACAAATGCTTTTTTTCCTTAATAAAGCTGTAAAGCATAAAATAAAAATCAACCTATGATAATATAGTACCTCTAAACCCTAATAAGCTTAATTTCATTTGTAGTATTCAGGTCCCCATATCCAGATAGGAATTTGGGATTTTAAGTTAATTGGTTGTCACACATGGGTCATAGTTCATATAGAAGCATAAACAATATAAATTGGCATTTGTATGTTCTATCAACATTTCTATGTTCTATCAATCATTGATAGTGAAATTGCAGTTTGAGATGAAACTCAGTTCTCTACTTCTGCTGGCAGATAGGTGGGGTCTGTGTAAGCTGCAGGCCTCTGCAGCCAAAAAAGCCTATTTTAGTGTTAGCAGCGAATCAAGGCAGGGAGTGCCCACTGGCATCAGCTACAAAGGTCACAGCTAGAAAAGTGGATTCTTCTCCACTATTATTGATTGGCATATTGCAGCTTTTAGTGACAGGCTGTGCCCTCCAGTGTTGCAGCAAACCCTAGCAACTTGATGCCAATTTCTTTCTGTTTTTTTGTCTCACGAATTCAAAGAATATAAACCGTAGGCAATAATAGAGGGCACAAGTGAAAGGATTTATTTAGGTGAGAAGAAAAGAGAGACAACTCCCACAGGGTGAGAGGGTACCTGATAGCAGGTTGCCACTTAAATAATAGTCTAGGTGCATATATAGCTTCTGGATATGGGACGTTGATCAAAATCCATGTTAGACAGATGTTGGAAAAGTACCGAGGCTATTGGTCAAAATCCATGCTAAGTAAGTATTAGAAAATCATTAAGGCTCTTGGTTAGCCCTTGAGTCTGTAGACTTTACTCAGGTCTATCCCACTCCCTATTCCCATCACTTTAGGACAAAGGAGTTGGCTGGAATATTTGGAATATTCCTAAAGGTTGACCTCATGAAGTGGCCTTTACATTGAAAAACACACACACACTAATTGAGGCCCATTAACTATCCTATGTAATTCATTAGGACACTTACTCATTAGAGTGCTAGTTACAGCTTTTTTTATAAACCATAGATACTTTGTATCATTTTATACAATGATAGGATCATTGCCTACTTTATATACTAATGATATACTATAAATAATTGAATTTTTAAAAATATTCAGTTATTTCCAAGAGA